AGGATAAGTGTTTGCCAGGACTGGGCGAAGTAAGTACATCCATATGATTAGCCGATGAGTTTGCCGGGCATTGACAGTGCACCAGTTATTAGTACCTGCTAACACACTAGCGACCCCTGAACTGCTTAACCCAGTTGGCGACGCCTATGTACATCTTAGTGCATGCTATTTGCCGGAAGTCTAGTTTCGGTTAGGCATACTGGTCAGAGTGCAGTCAGTCACTACTCATCCAGCCCTTTTGGTAAATATGGAATCATCTTACGGAGGCTAAAGTTATGGATTTAGGGGATGGCTAACGACTACACATACGACCGTTATTTCCTTGAATACTTACGGTTTGGAGATTTCCGACTGAAAGCGTGACCATGGTTGGTGTTATGCTTGTAGCTAACTACTATCACCCCCAAGGGGAATATATACCATACTCTTAAATCTGCCTCAAATGAATTCGTTTCTCTGTGCCTTTTTTTCTTAATTCATCCAAACCACCAAAACTTTAGCTTAATTATGTTGACGGACAGATTAGAATAAACCGCATCATATGGTAATAAGAATAACTGAACTAGGCCTTAATAATTTAAGAAAAATTTCGTTGCTTCCAAAAACATGAATCCGTTTGGATTTCCATATCAATTTTAAATGACCTTAAGGAGGTTTTGTAAATGAATGAGCACTGAATGTAAACGAGCAGTTTATTTTATCTAAGAAACCCGAGGTTTGTGAACAATGTCTGTAAATACTTTGGAAATGCCGAAAGAGGCCTGCGCGAAGGTTACATTTTTGTCTGGCTTTTGTGTTTCCACAAGGTCTGCTCGTTGACACATCTGCAGTAGTGGGAGAAACTTACGTCCTTTAATGGTCTGAGTAGGCGTACGTCGGTACCTATTTGAGAGGCTCTCTCAGGGCTCTCATAACCCAGGCGAATGAAAATAACAAACCGCTGAACAGTATTCGATGTGCGGAAGAAAACGCGTGGCATGTAACTTAGGAAAGTCTTCTCTGTCATGTGCGTAAACGTCGCCTGAGTGAGTTAACACTGCTTTTGAGTCTTGACGGCATCGCATAAGCGTTCAATCGATTGTCATAGGCCGTCAATACTTACAAGCATACGCCCATAAGTGATTTAACAAGTGATATCGCAAATACTTAAAAATGTGAAATGCTTAACAAACATTGAATTCTACCCTGACTCCTAGAGACTGTTGTCAGTCGGCCGTCAGTGGTTGTCATTCATGCCTGAAATATATACGTTTTACAATGTATCCTTGCGCGTTGCCGTGGATGTCACGTACGCAGGCAAAGAGGGAGAAATGTAGGATGTGATTCTTCTCTCTGCCTTGGAGCTTTATGATGCCTCCAGCACCAAAAACAATCTCAGAGTTCTCGAATGCGAGCAAATTTCGCACTCAGGAAGATCCCCAAAATCTTAAGAGCAAAGCACTCTCATCCAACGAGCCTGCTACAATTAAAACGCAATTTAAATGCTGCATCCACACAGCTGTATTTGGAAATGAATAAACAGGTTTTTGTATATGGACGCACAAACGCACAAAATCACAGTGTTCTTAGGTGTCTCAAGGGTTATTAATTCATTAATACTCAGATTCCTCACGCCGCCCCCATGACGGCGGGTTTTAGTGCTCAGAAAGGACTGTTCGCACCAATTAACGCTACTCCTTTTTTATGTTAACGCATGTGGCGCAGTCACTGAGCGTCAGCGTTTTCAAGAAGCACCGAAATACTCACTCCTAAAAGAAATTCGTAAACATTATGATTCGCGACACCCTTGTACAGTGCTTGACCGATCTCATGAAATGCTGGCTGTAATTATTTAATATGTTTTCTATTGGGAAAGGTTACCTAGGTGAGGTTTTAATATTAATTATCATGTGGCGTTATCCTGTAGTCTTTCGGACTTGCCAGGAGGTTAGCTTTAGAATGCACATCTTTTTTGACCTCCTGCGTACACCATGCTCGGCCAAAATGACTACATAAATGGCATGCATTTTTCACATTGATTTTCGGTTGTCTTATAAATTCAAATATGTTTTATAGAAAATCCGCATAAAATAGGCTTTCTTGTAGTCGCTTGGGAAAGGTAAATATTAAGGTTTTGAAAAGTTTCACAATTCCCCATTATTTTCGCGTCTGATCAGGCGCTGCATTCGCGTTTAGCGATTGAAGTCTGCGAGGTTTTTGCTTTCCACGCAAGAAATATATATGCCTTTAAGAAGACACTATAAATATTTCGTAGAATTTTGCAATCGATGCGGACTACGTTGAATGTATCATGAGGAGCATTAGCAAGCGTACATGTTTCATGCTGTATCAGCGGACATCGTACGGTCTTAAAAATCTCATAGTTCATAACCTCACTAAAACCGGAACGCATTCTTTCTTTGGATTCAAAATGTGAATACAATGCGGTTTTGTACAAACGAGTAAAAGAAAACGTATTTTTGTGCGTGTTTTCTATAAAACATACTTGAATTCATCACCTTCGAGCACTCGCTTTTCCATATCTGTTTGATGAATTTCCATGCTAAAACTGCCTGTAAAACATTTACAGATTAACCGCATTTCATGCCTACCCCAAATATGTTATGGTGATTTTGAGGGGTTCTGCCAATGATTACAAAGAAACCAATTAAAACTGATTGAAACTGGTTATGTAATCCAAAACTAGACAGTTTGGGTGATACTTGCATGACAATCACGTTAGGCAGATTTCTGCCGTTCCGTCGAGCCCCCGTTGACGATCACAACAGGCGTCATTCAGCACGGCGGAGAACATGGGAATGCAGACGATTGGAGCGCGTTTATGATCATGCGGTTGTGCAGTCATTTGGTGCGGCTACCCTAAGTGACGACCAACAATGACCTCCATCGTCCGCCTCATTCCTTCTTAACAATCATAACGATGTGAAACCTGTCCACCAGATACGCACTGTTGGCGTGTGCAGCTCCATCAGCAATCTACAAATACGGTGATCTTAAAATGATGGAGGACACTACTTCGATAACGGAATACGGGTGGTTGCATGGATGCAAGCAGGCGCGCCTTTCGAATTTCGTTTGGAATTTTCAACGTCCGGGGAATTTGCCGTTTTTGGGATTTTTGTCTGCCGGGCGCTCTAAGGACCCATTTAGATAAAGAAATCTATTCACAATCATTAATACCACGATCCTCATTAAACTTCAACAGGACTTTCTTTGGGAAAACCACTCTCGTTCGGATCACTTCACTGCCATCAGTATCGCGGGGCTCCCCAAATCCAAGAAAGGCTGGGTGCTTTACTATTTACTCATATCTTTCGTCCGGCTACATAGCTTTTCACAATATCCACTTCGAAGCGCAAGCAGGCTTGTCGTGTTACGATTTTGAAAAAGAGACTGAAACTCCCGGGAGAGTCACGGCCCAGTTTGTCAGTTACTTTGAGTGTAGCTAACATCATAACTTATTTTTCTCGGTGCCCTTGGAAACCGCACTAAGTTTATGAAAAGTGTGCGTTTAGGACAGTGAGAAGGACGCGGGCGAAGGTGAGAGTAGAGCTGTCTGTGTTGTTAAAATACGGCGGCCGCCAGGAGTCTTTGACACTTAAATCTAAATCGTACGTCCGTACGTCCTTACGGATGTTTCAAGATGGATGCATTGTTGAACAACTTCAGGACAAACAGAAAACTGTGCATTGTAAATGCAGTTTGGACTTCCCCTCCATGGCAAAATCTATCAATATTCTGGTCAGCTCAAATTGTTGCTTAAATAAATATACCTTCGGTAATCTGCAAGAAGGCTAGACCTCCGATATTCTAACCAAAGTACCCACAATTTTCCACAGTTCAAATGCTATCCTGACTTTTAGAGACTAATGGGCATGAGCGATGGCTGTCAATGGATGTCATACGCGCATGACAACTTAATGCATCCAAATAGGTCCTCCACAGGCACAGTGGATATGACTTCTGCGTACGAAGAATACCAAGAGACTGATTTAGTACTTACCTCATACCCCAAAATGTTTAAGATTTCTTCAACACTCCAGAGCAGTTTAACATGGAAAATACATTTCTTCCAAGATGAACCAGGCGCACTCTGGAGAAGGCCTAAGAGCACCTACATAAAGCATTCTCTTTCATCAAACATTTGCATCACTAGCAAGATGAAATGCCGCAACCGCATTATTTATTAGTTTGAGGATTTGGAAGCAAAGGACGAATAACTAGAGCCACTGAAAAATAATTATTAAACCCAAGAGTGTTTATAAAATTAAGAGACTAACACATTTTTCATTCGTATGGGTGGACTAATTGGAATGCTACACACAGCGAAAGCAAGTAGTCAGTTTTACGTGTGCTCATCCCAGCGACATATGTGCTTATGCACACAGAAGCTCGGATCTGCCTTTCACTTGACGGACTTCCACAGTTGGAGAACGGGATATTTAAATCAAACAGGGGAATTTTTTGTGACGTTACTTAAACTTCCGAACGGGGCATGTTTGTTGAAATAATGCGAGAAAAGTCCACAGGCTAAGCAAACAGATATGAACACCAATGGACGGCTAGATAACTCGAGGATGCATATTCGCTTGGAACAGTATGAGTCATTGGTTTTCCGATTCCACAGACCTGAATTCAAGGCCCGTATCTAGATGATGCCTTTATTGTTATTCAACCAAGGTCTCAATGTCATCTTCTTGGACATATAAGCTAAGGTGTGGGTGGAAGATAAAAACCTGCTTTTGTCGTTGCTCTTATTTTCCAATGTTAATATTCCGGTTGTCTAAATATAAAAGTGTTGAGGACAACGCCCCTCGTCGGCGGACAGTAGACAGCTTTGATCACAGAGAAGAAGTTTTTCCATTCGTTGAGGTCCGCGTAGCCTTGGATCTCCTCAGATTGCGAGCAGTCCAGGCGTCTGACATCTCACGCAGTCGTTGCTGAAGGTGGCGGCGACTGCGGTAGAAAGCAGCTTTGTTGGTCTCATTAGGGTGATCTACTTAGGCTTTCTGTAGGCGGTTCCTCTCGGCGAGCAGATTGCTGATGGCGGCGTCGTTTTCGTCGAACCAGTCCTGGTGTTGGCGGGGAGCGCGACCGAGGACGGCGAGCGTCATCGGCCGGACCGTGTCCCGCAGTTGACACCAGCGTTTCTCCACGGAGGCGTTCTCGGCAGCGACGGCGTCGTCGGCGGCAGCGATTGGAAGGTTGTCTAGCCGTTGAGCTAGCTCATTGCTGAAATGAAGATGGTGAGCGGGCAAAGACAACAAAGCAACATTCAGCTTACCTGGGGGTCGCTTACCTTGTGGTCTCCTGCGAGGCTGTAGGCGAGTACGCATCTTCGAGATGACGAGGCGATGGTCGTTCCACCCGTCAGCTCCCGCGATCGCCTTTGTCACCAGCACGTCCCACAGATCTCGGCTTCGAACGAGGACATAGTCCAGCAGATGCCACTGACGCGACCGAGGATGCCTTCTCCAGGTGGCCTTCTCTCGCTCCGGCAGACAGAAGAAGGTTTTCGTCAGGATGAGGCGGTGTTCTGCGCAGGTGCGGAGCAGCAGCAGACCACTGTCGTTTGAGCCGCGGAGACCATGGTGTCCCAGCACTCCTTTCCAGGCAGTATGGTCTGTGTCGACGCGGCGTTGAAGTCGCCAAGGAGAATCAACCTGTCCGCCTTCGACACAGTCGCCAAAAGGGCGTGCAGGTCCTCGTAGAATGTGTCTATTGCGGCGTCAGGGCTGGCCATCCGCGTAGCGTAGGCGCTAATGATGGCGGCGAATTTGCCTCCCCAGAGAGGCAGACGGAGGCTCATCAGGCGATCATTGATGCCCTTCGGCAAACAGGGCAGTCGTCCCATGATGTCGTTTCGGATGGCGAAAACGACACGCGTATCTCGTCGTTCTGTCCTGGGGCGACCACACCAGAAGAAGGTGTTGCCGGCACTCACATCCTCCCGTTGGCCTTGTTCGGCGAATTGAGTCTCGCTGAGTGCGGCGACGTCCACCTTGTAGAGCGCCAGTTCCCGGTCCACCGGCGCTGTCCTCCGATCTGGTCGGTGGCTCCTCGGATTGTCTAAAAGAGACCGAGCAATCAAGTCTGTCAGGGTCAGTGGACTCACCCTTCCAGTCTGGCGATTTCGTCGGCGAAGAGGAGAAGGAGGGGAAGGAAGAGAACAATCAGGACAAGGAAGAGAGTGATTGGTGTTGTTTCGACCGTGTGTGCTTTGTCTGCGGCCATGGCCAGACTACAGACAGCGTGGTTCCAAGCAATTTTTGGGCACATTTTCTAGCTCCTTCCCCTCGCGAGGGCAGGCATCGTACCCCCTAAATCGGGCTGCCCGGCTATCCCAGACGGCTGCCGAACTCCACTATGGTCCACGACATATTTTTAGTGGGAGAACAACCCGAATTAGCCGGGACCTTGTCGGTCATGGGGGGTAACTAAGTAGGAGAGAGCATACACACAGCAGAACGATATGGGACTTACAGATAGGATGGACACACAGATAGAGTCATCAGGCAGAAACAGAAGTAACAGGGCATCATTCAAAATCACATTCGTAACACATGGCCACTAGCAGAGATAGGCATAGATTAACAGATACAAAGCAGGCAACAAGAGCAGCAGACAGCACAGGAATTAAGCATGTAAATAAGAAGACAAGTGAGACAAGTTAGGAATGGCATCATTCGAGGCAGGCACAGATACGTCTAGCTATTAGCAAAGAGAGGCACAAACTTACGGAAACAGAGTAGGCAACAAGATTAGCGTACAACACGAAACATAGGCACACAAGTGAGTAAGGAACAGAGCAAAGCTCGCTTGCCTAAGAATTCACTTACCTGGTGGCCTCCTGCGTCGGTCCAGGCAGAGACATGTCTCAAAGATGTCGACGCGTAGATCCATCCAGCCAGACCACAGAAACGTTTGTGCAGATGCACGCACGAATACCCTCACCTGGTTTAGCTCGCCGGTCGAGGCAGTTGTCCGGGGTTTGACCGCTGCGCAGAGCCGGGCTACGTAGAGACAAGGCAAGATGTGGGTGCCAACACATGGACGCTAGGCGTGGTCTCACCTGCAAGCAAGCTAGCGACCACTACGACCATCACGTGGACCCACCGCTGGACACCCCTACACCCGTGTAGGTAAACTTGCGCTGCATCTACCTACACTCTCTCCTCCTCCCTCGCCCGAGCCCGGTGTCGAGACGGAGTCAAGAACACCGGAGACGAGGGAGGCCGCAGGTGGATGGTGCGGACGGATCCTCACCTTGGCGCTCCACTCCGCAACCCCTGGTCCACACAACAATTGACCAGGATTTTGACCAACACAACAGACATTGGAGGCTGGCACGGCCGAAGCAGTCACAACTAGGCGTGCCGCAAACCCCTGGCTCGGATCCCTCACTGTAGTGGGAGTGCCATAAAGGCCACACTAAGAAGGAGCAATTGCAGCCCGACTCTCATACCACCACTAGTCCAGGAGGAGGTCCATGTTATCCCATCAGTTGGCAACTTCCAAGCCACGGCTTTTAGCGCACCGTGAGAGCTTCAAGCACGTCGCATTGTTTAAAGTGAGGATAAGTGTGCTGAGTCGACCTCACTCTCCCGTCCCATTCCCACACACCAGCCGCTGTCCGAGCCGGTCAGCAGACTGAAGTGGGAAATGGGCGCGGTGGCTGTCATGGTCGACTGACCAAGACTGCGCGCGCCAATTGCACGACCTGCCCCCCTCCCCACTACACACACACACACGACAGTTCGACCATCGATTTCGATGATGTCTACCGTGTGCCCGACAGACTGCATTGCGGGAGTAGGGACGGTGACTAACGCAGGGGTTTATAGTGCCAGTAGACTTGCGTAGCATCTACCTGCACTCTCTCCTCCTCCTCCCCGCCTGAGCCCGGTGTCAAGACCAAGTCAAGAATACCGGAGACGAGGGAGGCCGCAGGTGGATGGCTCAGACGGATCCTCGCCTTGGCGCTCCACTCCGCCCCCCCTGGTCCACACTTAATGACCAGGATTTTGACCACAAAATAATGGCGTGGCGGCAGTGGTCCAGTTGAGCGACGAATGCAGACAACAGGGTCCGCAAGCGCACCCCGCAAGTGTTGGCATTTGTTATTGCGCACAGATAACGCCTGCCAGAGTCCGATGTGGCCCCCGTGTCAGTCCAGCGCATCTAACACGTGGCCCGTGTGGAGGGCACAACACAAACACACACACAAATACACACACACACACACACACACACACCAAGATTTCACTCAACGGGGGTTCAGTGGCGTGTCTCTCACTTGCGTGAGAGGGCCGTGGAAGATGCTGTTTCAGCCCGTCTCCCAGCCCACCAGTCCGCCCCTCCACACAAAACAAACACATCGGGACGGACCACGTGGGACGAGTGGGGGCGTCAATCAGCAGCCTTCCTGTCCACGACGATTGACGTGTCGGGATAGTCTCAGACTCAAGTCGCCCGTGCAGCCGAAGCCGCATGGGGACCGAGTCGAGGTGCACACTTCCCAATTGCGTGGGAGATGGCAGTTTGTTGCTTAGCGTGCAGTAGAACATGCGTGGCAAGTAACTTAGGGGAGGCTTTTCTGTCGGCAAACCGTATGCGCTAAACCAGCTGTCGTAGGCCAACAGTACTTACAAACATGACTTGTGATATTGCAAATAGTTAAGAATGTGAAATACTTAATGAGCAAGTAGTCCTTGGAAATCTAAAGTCTCTTCCCCTATTCTGTAATGAATCAACCACGAATTAGAAGCGAATATGTTCTTAGATTTGAAGACAACTATATTCAGGGTTTTAAGGGTTTCCACTTATCAGGGCCGCCTATCGTCATGAACTGATGTGAAAATTCGACGCCTTGGTGTGTGAAAAGTCTTCCTGATTGACCGTCTCTCACTACGTCTAACCAATGACAATAGAGGGATTTGGAGAAGGGAAATGTACTGGTGCTATAGTCTCTATAAGTCCATGATAGCGTCACTGATATACCAGTAAGAGTCAGAGCAATATGGACAGATCCATCTGCGTGTATGCAGGTATCTTGCTTTGCGTAATTACAAAAGTCAAATCTAACAGTAAGTGCTCTGAACGCGATCTAGTCCAACTTTATGTATTTTGACCGTCAGCCTTCTAACTTATTAAAAGTTCAGACTTCGATCTTGGAATCTTCCATGTTTCCGTTCTCAGTACCAGGTCAATTTTACTGACTACGTTGTCATACAAACAAGGAACTACACACAGTAACTCATGTAGTCTTCTTAGCAGGCTGGTTAATGTAGGAGTTCGATGAAAACAAGAAGTAGAAATTAGTATTTATGTTTGCGAAACATACCAAACACTGAATTGGATAATCAAAATTCTTTTCAAGACCTCAGACATTGTCCACGTAATGGAACCATCATAGATCTACCCCTGGTCGTGACACATTTACTGGGGCAGGCCGACCTCTCCGTTGTTAAAAGGACGTACACACGGCAAGTGCGCACGCAAGTATACTTTGAAAAGGACGCCAAACCGGTTGGCACCGGTTGCTTAGCAACACGAATCGTGGGCAAAAAGAAGACTATGCAGTGTGAATGCCATGTGAACTTCCCTTCCATAACGATGACTGTTACTTTACTGGTTAGTTTATAAATTATGCGTAAACAAATATGATTTTGGTAATGTGAAGTAATGTCAAACAATCGATATTCTAACCTAAGCATGCACCTGCTTGACAAATAGCGAATTCTACCCTGAATTTCAGAGACTAATGCCAATCAGCCGTCAGTGGTTGTCGTACATGCCTGAAACATATACGCTTCAGGATGTATTCTTGAGTGTTACCGTGGATGTCACGTACGCGTACGAAGCAGACGAAATGGAAGATGTGATTCTTCTATCAGACTTCGATCTTAAGGCTGGCCTCACCAATACAACGCCGTCTATGTTGTCGAAAGCGAGCACATTCCGTTCAGTATGGACAAGGCGTACGCTGGAGGATGCCCAAAATTCGTTGAACAAAGCATTCTCATCCACCGGTCCCCTGTATTGCTACCATTAAAGCCTAATTGGGATGCTGCATCTATAGAAATGAATACCTGCGGAATCGGTTTTTGTATGTGAATAAAAGAACCTGCTGCGAAATAAATCATTAATAAAACTGAGGTTCTGATGAGTGTCTTACGCTATGTGCTACACATCGAAAGCGCATATACCAGTATTTTTTTGCGTAATTATACGACTCAGTTCTAGCTTTACGTACCTCCATACAGTAACAGCACGTTAGAAATCGGACGTGTACGGCTTTGGGCAGAATGAATGCATCTGTACAGCAATGCCCAAGGCAACTAATTTTAATCTTAGGAACCGTATATCTGAAGACACTTGAGACACTCCCTCACGTTATTGAATAGCCCTTTGCAATTCAGTATGTTACATAACCAAATATAAACACCTGGATTTCGGTGCATAATTTAGGGAGACATATTAAATGGAAGACTGGATTTTAAAATCAGGAGCAATTAATTTGGGGGATATTTATTTTTAAATACTCCATTTCGCTTCATTCTGTCTACCAAACAAGCTCGTTAAGGGTCCTGGATTGAAATGCTGCCAAAAGACACGATAAATTGGTCCCCGAGGTTATGTTGATTAAAGTGAGGTTCCCAGCAGCAGTAGCCAAATCATGCGCAAATCAGCATCCAAGGCCCACAATGTGATGGGACAAATGGTTGAGGTTGTCGTTCACGACAGATGAACTATCGGTGGTTGTCGTGGTGAGGTGGGCAGTGGTACTGAGTGCCTTGCGCGAGGGAAAGGTTGAGACGTTGGGTTGCTATTGCATTTTTCATAGGTAATGGGCGCTCGAGTTGATTATTCTTGAATGTGCTTCATGTGTTGGATGCTGAGCAGTTATCGGTCTGTTTATGCTTATTCCTGACTCCTTCCCACCCTATCTATCCAAATTCGATTCTCGGATGTAGGGGAGGAGAACGCAATCATGATTCACCTCAGACGTTACCATCAATAATTCAAACAGTACCCCATTGTCCTTAATGCGAGGCGCCACGCTATTTAGGATTTCAGGATGATTTGCCGGAGTCCGTCACATGTTTGAAGT